CCGCCTTCGTACAACAGCCCTACGATCCCAAGAATTTCGAGGACATTCCCTGTTTACGGTCCCGGTGTTGTTCCTGAACGTTCTGATTTTCGTTACTCTTCCTGTCGCGGATAAGATCCATTTAGGACTAACGAGGAGTAGAGGATAGAATTCATTTAACCTTAGAGGCCGATCTTTTGTATACTTTTGTTAGAAAGACAATAAACTTTGACCCTTCGATGAAACGACGAATCCGTGTCACCGGGTGTACCAACGAACCTTAGTACAGGTACGGGACCCCTACGATCGGCAACCGTGCAAAAAGTAACATCGTAAACGATCCCAGAAACGAAAGAACCGGTCTTGGATCGTTTAAGGCGTTGTTTCTCGGAGAACCTCGAGCCTCGGGAATCATCTACAGAGTCATATTTCAGAAACCACGGAGCCGAGATATTATTATCTTGGCCACAATTACAAACTATCCCACGAATCAAAGAACCACGAGCGAACCTAGTTCGGAGAGTCTCGTTTCCTTAACGACGTCAAGTAGAAATAATCTGCCGAGTCGTTTTCCAGAAGGTCCCTGGCTCGTTACAAAACTCGTCTCGTTCCACGGATTTTCCGTGCTTTTTTCCGCTCGGCGTGCAGACCGGCACACAGAGGGGGGGCGGAGGCGAGGGGAACGGAGGCGTTTGACTTGCAAATCGGTTCGCGTTCCCTTCCTCCCCTCCGGTTGTACGGCGCTCGGCCGTTTTCCTCCTTCGCCTACGTTCTTCTACGCGGAATGCAATTACCCTAATTGCCGGCACTCGAAGCAGCGCGTTGCGTAAGGGTGGTCGTTATCGGCCACCACGAATTACATCGTTAAACAGCCGGTGCGAGCACGCGAGCGCGCACGAGATCAAACCTTCTTTATTCCTTCCTTTTCCATTGTGAAATCTCGCGTCGATCGCGAGAACGACCGAGCCCTCGTCGCCTCGAGACTCTCTCAAAGGCGGACACTCCCGTTTGCATATTCTGCCGTGCGTTAATTTGAATTTATGGACTCGGCCGGTGATACATTTATGCACGCGCACGCGGTTTAATGGAGATGCCGGTAGACAGGCTGGAGAACGATCCGCGCCGACCCTGCGACCATTCTTTCGCGACACATTCCTCTCATTCGGAGTTGGGCAAATTTTATCCCCGTGGTAGTTTTCGATTCGTTTGCAAATTAGCTTCCGTTCCGTATCGTGCACTCGAATAACCTTTTGAAAAAGATTAATAGAGAATAGTTTGAATGGTAGTCGAGGGGCTCCCGGAGTTGGTACGGTAACGATCGTGGAGCAAAATTCACTTCCGTTTGGAGAAGACGGCGGTGAGACGACCTAACAGTAGCCAGGTCGGAACTGGCGTGACCAGATTCCTATGTCCCGAGTATTCGAACGTTAATCGCGAGGTTGCAGAAGCGTCTTAAAGAGAGACGAACTCGTCGCGACATCGTCAAGGTCGTCGACTCGTCGGGGCTTGTCGGGGCTCATCGAGCCGATAGCGATAAAAACGAGCTGTTTATGAGCGGACCGGCGAAGCCGCGACGAGGATTAACAGCCCGCCAGATAGGTCGGTCGTTAAAGAAACGAAAGGGAGGAAAAGCGAGAAGAAGAACGAGGCGGAGAGGCGAGTAGAAGCATTAGTCGCAGACGTATTACGGAGCTGGCAAGGTGCCAGCCATTTAAGAGGGCCGAAACCTGTTTCCGGCTGCATTGTGAATGCCTCTTCTTTCGCGAGCGAACGTTCGTGCATGGCACATCGCTTTCTTTGTAGCGGAACCAGACCCAAAGAAAGGATCCTCTCGGCCCAAACACGGTAGTTGAATACAATTACCAAAATTGCTCGGATTCGCGTGCTTCTTACAGTCACTTTCGGCAACATCTGCCTCCATTGCCAAGCGAGACCCTTCTTTTTCTAAAACAGTACTAGACCAATACCTAGACGATTCTATGCAGATGCTTTTTTTCGTCGCGTCTGGCAATTAAATTTTCCGATTACGATGCCTTTTTTCATTCGGAGGCATGCCTATTCTCGGTTTCCTTTATATTTAGACCCAGTTTTTCCACGACCGTTCGCGTCGGTCGATTGTAATTAAATTTAAAGAGCGATAAATCGAAGAGGAAGTCAGCATACGACGGAATTACCTTACTCGGGTATTAAATATTCAATGCTCGCAACGCTATTTCAATCGAAGCCGGATGATATCGTTGCAATATGAAAATTACACGGCTCGACGCTTGGAATACATGCATTAGCGTATGGATACCTATTCATTACCGCGACCCACACATGCCTTCTCCCAGAACGTGGTATAATAATAGTTCAGTAAATTACAAAAACATGTGGTTCCGATTAAACGGGGAACGGTGACTTTGACATTTTCTGCGTAACACCCAAGGGACGAAGGTTTAACGATAATTCAGCGTACAGAATTTTCTTTTCAGAGTGTAGCGTGTCTGTCCGACGTTGTCTATTTTCGTTTTAAATCTAATCAATCCGCTAGATTCGAAAATCGACAAATTATAATTCACGGGCCAGATTTGGCTCTCCACGAAGGAGTTAAATTCATCAGTTTACTTAGAGAAATTTAATTATCGAATTGCTAGGAATGGTAGAAATTAATTCTCAAAATGGACGTAACGAAGTAATTAATTTGGATAGAGTGTCTTACGGGTTTTAAAATAAACCTCTTCAAAAATAGGTATGAACTTGATTAGCGAGTTAAGATGGTTTCGAAACGAGTTTCGTGGCAGAATCGGGAAATTGCTGCTAGGGTAGTTGGCATATAGTCGCGTACGCAACGACGACAAAGCCCAAAAATATTTGTTATCCGACCCTCAGTTTGCCGACCTCTACGCATGGACTCGACGATTTCAGCGTCACTCGTCCATGAAAGAAGTCTTCGTTCCGTACCTGTCACGGGGAACAGGTTCCTCCCCTGTGCATTGACCTTTTCTCCTCGCGACTTACTCGAGGGAATACAGGGATCCCGATGGTGCAGGACGATCGATGAAAGAGGGACGTGGTTTGCGAGCGCTTCGTCAACGTCGGAACCTGTCCCGGACCTGCCCTCATCGCGCTGATGCGAAATCTGGTCCGACAACTTTGCCTTTCGAGGCAGAGAAACCAGAAGAGGCTATCGATCGTCAACTAGTACCACCAAGACGGACCGATTTTCGAAAAGTTCGAAATGCCCTGCCACGACATTTCAATCCTCGGACTGTACATTAGCACTTTGACCGCTACAGATTTTTTGTTGACAAAACGATACTCGATGCAACTCTTAGCACAAACGCCAAAGACGTCTTTGCATTTAAAGAGTCAAGTCCCGTGGTTGATAACAATCATAGTATTGTACCGACTTATAAATATTCAATTCTCTAATGCACATCGATTTTTATTCTTTCAAACGCTCGTTCCATTAGTTTGCTGTCAAGATGTAAACGATGCCTTAGCGAAGTCGAGGCTATCGGCTCCGAACGCCCACGAACAAGCTTCGACAAGGAAATAATAGCAAAGACGTTGGTTCTATGCAAAAAGTTGTTGTTTTTTCAAATCAGTCCGAGTCAGGGTTGTTAGAAACCGGTAGTAGGAGTTTTAAAATTGCTGTCTTTTGCCATCCACGATTCCTGGAATCGGGGAATTCTTGCGGGTTTGTTCGTCCACCGATAATTCAACTTGGATCGGGAAGAGTGCATCCATATTTCTTCGAAGCTTCTCGTTAATCCGTCTGGGAAGGAGCCAGAGTATCCCGTAAAAGCAAGAGAAGTTACGTACGGTTCTTTGTAGTTTGAGTTCGATCCAAACAATGACGAACGACGGGGCTTCGGATGAAGATAAATGGAACAACTTGCAATTAGAATAGCAGATAAGAGGCAGGGAGACGTCGACGGTCGATCATGTAGGTGAAAGTCAACGTATCGGAGATACGAGACAGGAAACAGATAAACTCGATAATACCGGGATTATGCGAAGAGGAAAAACGTTTACCGATAAGCAAGAATCGAGATCGCGAAGAAGGAATTTTTTATTGGTTGGACGAGGCGCGAGCATCGTTGGCGATTTTTCCAAGACGATCGTCGGTCATCGCGTTACCCGGAAACCAGCGATTTCGTTGCACGCTCGCGCTCGTACCGATAACCCTTGGGACTCGCGCTATTTACGGGGAGAAAGGCAGGGTTATCGCGGCGATACGTTAGGTTCATCGTACCCCAGAACCTTGCCAAGACCGCAGGGAACACAAGGAAAAAAAGTGATGCAACTCTTTTTTGTTTATACGCTGATTCGCGAGCAGCGATTACTCCCGCGAAATATTCCGCGCGATGATTATTTTACCGGTCTATCGCGCTTTATCGTTCGCTTTTGTTCATTGTTCTTTTTTTTTTTTTAACGATGCGAAAATGTGTCCTGTAAACGACCGGAAAAGATACGATTCGTTACTAAGTTTAGGCCTTTAGGACACAAAATCTGACCGATACTTTAAAACCCCTGGAACTTTTTTATTTAACGTTGTTTGCGAAAACGCGTTCCATGTAGAATATAGAGTTAGTCCCACGGTTTTCGAACAGTTTAAACTTTGGCGTCGCGAACTTCGCCTTATAAAGCCTCTTTTAACTTTATAAATAAACGCCGTTTTATTGTGTCTATCGACGATAAGTGTCGGGTTATCGGGCCTGGACTTTGGATGGACGCATTTTGTGCTTTCTACGTTTTACGAGCTCGTCGAAGAAACGAGAACGTACGGTGACGAGTAATGGGACGCGATTGCCAGTAGTTTTATGAATCGTCGCGGCGATAAGATTGAAAATTGCGACGCGGTTGTGCGCGATGTCGATAAATTTGTCAGATAGTGGAATAGAAACCGATCAATTGGCGGAAAATTCGAACCATTTCCGACCGGGCCGATTATAAGTTGGTTGGACGAGCGTCGAACTCGTACTGAACAAACAACGGTTCGAAGCAACGGAGAAATATCGACGCGTATAACTTACCCACGCTGAGCCGATCGTAGAGCCTTTAGCAGGCGTCCAAAACTCTGGATATTTACCTGAAACAAAAACGTAGCGTTAGGATCGCAGTTTGCACACAGTTTAGAGAACCTTACGTATACTAAAAATTGCGATAAGACACTCGACTCTCAACATTGGGATAGAACTTTTACTCGCACAGCAGAAAACGCGTATCGTGTTTTATAACAGTGGAACGTTCTAAACGTGTGGTCAGTTTCGAATTAAGGTTCGAGATCAGGCTTCTCCAAGCACAAAATACAGGTTGGCGTTCTCGTTTCTTTACCAAGAAGGGACATCGGGCCAAATCGACCAAGCGATTACGAGTGAAAGTGGTCGGTCGAAAAATTCCGAGCAATTTTTTCTCTTCCTTGGGGCGATTCGAAGACGCCAACTGCGTTTCACGAGAACAATGGAAAACCGTTCTTTGAATCGTGTTTCCCTTTTTTTTGATTCTTGCTTTCCTTCACGGACACGATTCGCGTTAATCTCCGTTTCTTGGGTAATTGACATCGAGACGCGCGCTTTCGAGCGAATCAATTAAGAAAATCGATACGCGGAATTCTTATCGCGATGTAATTTGCACTGGGTGTTACGCAAGGAAGAATTTGTTCAAGGTTGTCTACGAGTCACGCGATTAATATTGTATGGCGTTCGTGGCGTAAAACGAAGCGAAAAGTCACGTACAATTTCAGCTCGAAGCAAGTTCTAAAGTGACGCGCGTGTCAACGGTTACAGGGAAATGAGTTCTAGTCGCGTTTGTTGCAAATGTGTGTGGCAACGTGAGATCCGTTTCCCCTTGCGTTCTAGTTACACGACTCGGTGGCGCCTCGGTTTCGTAGTAATCATCGACGCATTGTATGAAACTAAAATTTATAATCGCGGAATAATATTGTATTACCCTGGATACAATCTACACACCTTACCATAAAATATAAAGAACGGATGACGAACGAGAGATTGTTAAAAAGCGGTCAAGGATTCGCTGATGCGTACATTCGGCCGATCGTTCACTCGAATGCCAGGAATACTTGGATAAGTAAGAGTATCAAAGTGTAAACGGTGCGAGTCACGGGGCTCCAGATGTTTAAACACCTGTCGCCCCTCCTCCGCGTTTACCGCTATTTTTAAACGCGAATCGAGTCGATTTCGACCCTCGGAAAATCAACCACTGGTACATCAAAGAATTCTTGCGATCGAGCGACTCCGTGTTCCTATTTAACGCATCGTTTCTATAAATAAACAGGCTTTTTTACAGCGCTAAACGAGCCGGGAGCGAGTGATTCACGAAATAACAACATCGAATCCTTGACGGATTTACGACCAATGCTATCTACACCGGTTTATAGTTGTAAGTAGCAGTCAAACACACGCACGCGAACATTTTAGTGCTCGTAGAAAGGAATGTTCTGAAAACGACTGCGATGGCCTTGATGACAACCACTTATCAGGCCATTGTTTTCACTTGTAATTTACACTCGCACCGTGCCGGTATGCGCCAACAGGTTATTTCGAAACTTGTGTAACTCGAATTTTTTAACGCGTCGATTGAGGATGCAGTCGACCAGGGGCGGTATCTTTTTGCGCGATTCTACATGTAAAACTGGTAAAATTTCTCGTACGTTCGGTTCGATGGGTCGTAGAACACCGTGTTGGCCAGGACTCGAACAAAAAGGACTCCCATTCGCGTCGGTCCTCGTACGTCGAACGCATCACGATACGCTGCCGGACAACAAAAGAACCAGTTCACTTTTTGCCAGGCGCAAAAAATGGGCCGCGTATGCAAGGACGGAACCGTAGAAAGAGGTAGTAGAAGCGCGCTTACACCACTCGTAGGATAGAGATTGTCGAGTAGCCGGGGGGATGGTTGGCTCTTTCCTTCGCAGGAACGGGAAACAACCACACGACTTGGGGTTTAACGGTCGCGGCTCTCAATATGCGTCGACGGAGTCCACGGAGTGCATCCGTTTTTTGCCGGCTCTCCCTCGACTCTCTTCTTCCTTCTTCTCGCTATCGTTCCCCATCGCCGTCGTACCTCTCGTCCCCCGACAACACAGCATTCTCGAGCCTATCTCGTTTACTCGTTCAACGCGTCATTATCGAACCGGTTGCTGCCGCTGTTGCAGCTGCGGTATCGTGCCGTGGCTCTCTCACGCTCTCCTCGCTCTCCCGGGGCTCGATGCTTTGGAAATCGATCTTCGTGACTCGATTCGGAAGTCGAGGAACACGATGACCGAACACGCTGAATCGCCGGCTTTCGTTGGCTTTTTTCTCGCGGGAAATTGGAACACCGAGGCAATAGTTCTCGGTTCTCGCAAAGGGTAGGATATTCCATCTGTCGTCCGATTTTAACCTACTTTTCGAGCATGGTTTACTACAGGTTCCTCGTTACTCCCGATCTATTCCAATTAGAAATATTCCGTATCCAAGATGAAAGTGCTCTCTGGGAGCGGGTGAAAAGTTAAACGCGACTCCAGCAAATAAACACTAATTGTGCGTTCGCGGTACAGAGTCTATTTATGTTTCCAATGCACGTATCGTGACTGCCGATATCATGCACATTGCTAATGCAATTATAAACGAATGGAATTTATAAAAAGAGTCGATCGGTATACAATATTCGAACCCGTGTTCTCGAGCACATAAACTACTCATTTATACCGTCAGCGTCACGGACACTTCCATGACAGATATTAATATTCATGGAGTGTATATAACAAGGTATGTTGCTTGTCGGAGTACTCGTATCTATGAAAGTATCGAGTTATTATGGCTAGTGTTTTACAGATTCTTTTCGATCGTCCAACCATCGCGGAAAAGTAGGTTAAAATCGGAGTCCTTTGGTTGTTGGGGCTCGATAGCTGGGAAATAATCGTCGGATCTCTTACGAACGCGGTCAATTATAAATTTTCCTTTCGCCAGAGGCAACAAGGAGGAACGTCGCGCGAGTTAATTGCGCGCATCCTCCGGGAGCGTGCTTACGAAAAAAAGGGTCGAAACGTAACGAGGAGATCGCGCACGCAATACATTTTTATCGCCGCGCCTCCTCCACTTTTGCCGCGATTCATTACGGCATCGAGTCGTGCAATTAGAACGACTGGAACGGAAGCGGATAACAAGGTCATTAAGACGGCGAACGTGTTTCGCGAGAAAAGGGGAAAGCCTCGAGCGATTCGAATTTCGCTTGGTAAGCTTGCGTAAAATTATTCTTCTCGAAGGGAACAATGCCACGTTGGTCCGGCGTGGCGTGCAAACAAACGCAAACCCTCTATCGAGAATTTCCTCGCAGCTTCTTTGACCCATTTAAACGCTTCGTGGAAAATAGTCTCGGACTGTCATCGGATTTTTGTTACTCGTCCGGGTTTATTTTATTTTCGGTTCGATTTGGGCACTCGTTCTGCCCTGGTATATATTCCATATACCATGTGGTTCAAACAAAGTGTTATGAGAGTTCTTTTCTTAAAAACAAACCAAGATGACCACTTCATTTTCGAACTTGCATGATTTCAAGTATCTTTATCCGCGCAATCAATTTTTTGGGGGCGAAAAAGGGAGACGTAGATCGATCCAAGATACTTTGAATGTTGCGTTTGTTCGAGAAGAGAAGAAAAGAAAAAGGAGAAATAGGTTGAAATGTTTGCCGAGCGTGCCGTACCGGTATTCACGGAGATTCCCTGCCACTTTGCCCCGTTTTATCGATAACGCTGTTGTCGTCGCGGCAGGAATCCTCGTCTTTTATTTAACGCCACGTAACAGCGAACGTGAAAATATCGCTGTTTTGCATCTCGGGATTTTGACGATGAAAGGGGCCAATTTCAAACACTCGCTTCGAATATCCGCTTCGCGTTCGAGAGACGTGGCGGAGATCGAAACGTGACCTTGTATGTAAATGGGAACCGCGGCGGATCAAAAATAAAATATCGCAATTTTAGAAAGTTTTATTAGGTTTAAAGAGGGAACGGATCGAAAATAGATCTTGTTGTAGCTCTATAGAACGTTATTAAAATTTTAATATCTTCCATCGATCGAAGCCTTGAAATTTTTAATACTATTTTAATGTTTGAAAAACTTTGGGACCAAAATATCTGAAAAACAAAATTCAAGTGCACGTAAACACGGAGTGGCCTGGTCAGCGATAATGGAGTGAAAATTGTTGGAGGTTGTTCGACGACTATGCGTGTATTGGCTCTCGAACGCGGACGATCCAACCGCCCCGAGCGTAAGGGGGGAAAAGAAGAACAAAAATGGTCGTAGAAAGGAGGAAAAACGATAAGACTGGAAAGACGACATGCAACGTGGCGCGACAGGTTGATCCTGCTCGGTTGTTTGCGTTCCATGACGCGGATCCGGTTTCGATTTTATGGCTCTATATATCCAGCTGGCGATAATTTCGTCTTTTACGACTGACCCCGCGTTTCCTGTGCCTCGTTTCACTCTTTCTTCGATATTACGATATTACGCCCGGGCAGTTCTCCACTTTTAATCGGAACTACAGCATTACCTCGGCTCCTGCATCGACGACGATGAATATCGTAAGTTATCGAGTAGCCAGAAACTTTCGATTATCGGAAGAGCGATCTAAAATATCTGTGGAGTTGTCGCGGAAGGACGGTCGATCGCGCAAACGGATCGGGCAAAGTTACTTTTTGCAATCAGAGGTCCGTCGAAGCTCGAACGCGAAAGGGAACTCGATTACACGCGACGAGAGAAACTGGGCAGGGAGAACAGAGCACGCCCGGAGGATCTAAACTCGGTTTGCGGCCGAATAAGTCGCCCAGGCCGCAGAATTTCGAGCTCGATCGAGGAGCGGAGCCGAGCGAGATTGGCGGTCAACCGCGGACGCTGAACCGACGGCGGCTTCGATAATTCGCCGTTTACACCGTAATTTCGCTCTGATCGGGCCACGAATTCCGCGCGTCGAACCGTTTCCCGCCCACGGAGGTTCTCTCTGGAACTCCTGTTCCGATTACCGATGGGAAGCTTAGAATTAATCAACGAGGAAAACACCGAACGCAAAATCCTACTACACGAGCAAACTTGC